CAGGGTTAAGTGATTTGCCCAGAATGATATAGCTATTAAGTGCCTGAGATGGGATCTGAACGCAAGTCTGCCTGATTCAAGGTCCAGCACTCTATTCACTGTGCCATATTTGCCTGTTGATTGTTGACTAATTGTTTGTGAACTTTTGGTGATGGGAAATCCTCTCTCTCACAGGGGTAGCATGATATAGTAGATGGCACATTGGACTTAAGAGCATGTGAGTTCAAATCCCACATCAGACACTAGCTTTGTGACTCTGGGCAAGTCAAAATCTTGATACGCTCCAGTATTCCCATCTGTAAAAATAAGGATTATAGCAGTATTTACCTCACAGAACTGTTGTGAGGATCAAATTAGAATATATGTATGGCCTGTTGTAAAGCACAATATAGATTGGAGCTAGCATTATCAGCTTCTAAGGCAGCTGGATAGTACTAATTGCTAGTCATGGGCAACATAGGCAATTAGACAAGGCCATGTATTGGTTTTGCTGAACGTTAAATAAAACTCAATTTTTTTTAAAAAAGCTGAACTCATTGAACTAAAGGTAAATATTTTTAACCTGAGGTCTTTGGATTCATTTTGATGTCTACTTCAATATAATTGGTTTCCTTTTAATTCCATGTATTTTATGTATTTAGAACATTGTTCTTGAGGCGGGTTTATAGGCTTCACCAGACTGCCAAAGGGGTCTGTGACGCAAAAAAGGTTAAGAATTCTTGGCTTAGAACTTGTAGACTCCATTCTTTTCTTTATTTTGAAAACTGGGACATGTACCTCTCTTGTGGTATTTTCCCAGTTCGCCATTTCCCAAACATCGTTGACAGTGGCTCAGTAATCACACCTGCTAATTCTTTCAGTACCCTGGGATATACTTTGTCTAGTTGGGTTAACTTGAACTCAAAAGCGCCAAGGCTATTCCATCATTATCTTCTGATTCTGGGCAACAGTTCCCTATTAGCCATATTTGTTCTATCCTTTCCAGGAGAAAAGCTGTTACCTTTGGCAGAGAAAACACAATCAACTTAAGAGTTGAACATCTCTGCCTCCTCTCAGTCATTAAATCCCAATTATTTCATGTCCCCAGAGCAGGGGTCCTATCGCTTCTTTGATTCTCCTCTTTTGCCCTATATCGCTAAACAAATAAAATAAACAAACAAAAAAAGCCCTGCTATCCTTAGCTTGCTTCACCAGATTCTGATCTCATGATCATGCTCTTTAGTCCTTTTACCTTGGTCACCCTTCTTCCAGATATGCTCAGATTTTTGTCTTGTTGACATTTTCCTTTTAGAACGCAAAGGAAACAATAGGATCATAGGTGCACAGAATTAATGCTGGAAGGGACCTTGAAGGTCATTTAGTTTAACCATCTTATTTTGGAAATGAGGTAACTGAGGCCCACAGAGGGGAAGTGACTTTGCTAAGGTCATACTGGTAAGAGGCAGACCCTGGATTTGAACTCATGTCCTCTGGCCCCTAATCTATCCTGTTTAACCTTTGTTACAAGGGAATTCTTGGTGGGCAAAAGTAGGTTGGAAACAGAGTAGGTATATTTGGAAATAACTGCGATTTTCCAGAGTACTGTAAATGCCTTTTCTCATTGCTGAGGCTCCTAGTTCCATTCTATTCCATTGCTGCTCGAGCTACACTATTGACAAGAAATACATAAAATTCTGATAAGTTATTGATGTAAGTGCTTTAGGAGATACAGAAGAAGTATAAAGCATGGGCCTTGCTATCAAGTCACTTTTGATCTTTTTAGGGCAGACAGGACGATGTGCCCAAAAAAAGAATTAAAAACAGTATATGTGCTCAAGAATTAAACTGTGTAATAAATTACAGATGCCATGGAGAAGGATATGTTCTGCAGTAGTTAGGAAAGCATGCTAGGATCACATTACTGCTTAAAAACCCCTTTAACCCATGGCAGCCTCCTAGCCCTAGTGTCTTCAACAAATCCCCCCTTTTGTACAGACTGGGTTAATAATGACTTTGGACTTAATCTTGGCCAATAGGAAGAAATGGCTGGTGAATAACAACAACAATAATGATTTTTAAAAGTACTCATATTTGAATAGCACTTTACCATTAACAAAATGTTTTTTATGGTTGATATTTTTATAGCACTTTTATAGTTTACAAAGTGCTTTATGTGAACAAACCTGGTCAAAAGTAATGAAATATTAATATGCCATAAGAAATGAGGAATATAAAGAATTCAGAGAAAGTTGGAAAAACTTGTATAAATGGGTACAGAGAAAAATTAGGAAAACAATTTACACAATGACTACAATAATGTAAAGGAAAACAATAAAAACCTTCACAACCCCAATCAATTATTGATCAATTATAACTTTACAGATATGATGGTAAAGTTTCCTCCTCCTCCCCAACAGAGATAAGGGACTATGGCAAGGAACAAGGCATACATTTTCAGACATGGACAACGTGCTGATTTTTTTTTTTCTTGACTGTACTTATTTATTACAAGGTAAAGTTTTAGTGGTGGTGGTGGTGGTGGGGAATAACTGGAAAGTGACAATCATATTCAATAAAAAAAGGAAAGAGCATCTATAAAACATTTCTAAGTGTTTCATGTTTATTTCTTCATTTGAATATCATGGTAACATTATGAGGTAAGTGTGCTTACAATAGGTATTTATTTCCATTTTACAGATAGAGAAAATAAGGTGGCTAGGAGAGAGTAACTTGACCAAAGATAAAGTTATTAGAAACAAATGGAACCTTGAGAAAAAGTATCCATGTCATCTTAGAATTTGTAAAAGATAAGGAAGAGAATGTTGACATAGTTGGAGAAATATTGATAGAATTTAGGAAATTCCATTTTTAAAAAGTTTGCAGAAAT